CGATAATACATCAGCCCTATTACGCTACTAAATCACATTGGCTTCATCCAAGATTTCCACTAGCCACGTCTCACAAATAATAAACTTCGCCATCATTAAAAATAACTTAGCCCTATATTATAAGCGATAAACAAACAAATAAGAACCTGTGATAAAGCCTCAATAATATCAATTTAGGAAAGTTGCTAAGCAACTTACGGTAGTTTGCTAAGGAGATTTATCATATCGATATATATATATTTTTACTAATAAACAAACATTCATGACCGAATATTGAATAATGTGTTTAATATTACAATCACCTTTTCATTATAGTTCTATTCTTACCTAAAATGAGTTCAAGATCTGAAGAGCAACTAATTGAAAGTCATGACCAAATTGAGATTATGATTAATGGAGAAAGGGGTATTGATTCCAATAAAGGAAATGCGATCAGTCAATATGTTATTTCACCAAGTGGTCAATATATTGCGACTTGGAGTTATGAAAATCAATCAATTTTTGGATGGAACATCACAAAAGAACTAACTGCCGAGTTTGACGATTCAATTAAACTCAAGTTCTTAAACACCGATATACAGTACTATAATGCATTAATAGGAGTCTCAGATTGTAAACAAGTCATACTAAGATTAAAATATAGATATGACCCTTACGATTTTGGTTTGTTAAATTAATTAAAATCGTTGATTTTTTATTACTGAATTCATATTTATACTGTATTAATTTATTTTAACAGAAATTATTGACATCCAAACTAAATCAAGACGCGTATTGAAAGCTCAAGGTTTGAAGGGAGAAACTTCTAATGTTTCTTTTCTTGAAAACGGAGATCTTGTAGTTATCAAAGGAGATCCAGTTTGTCGAGCCTATATCTTTTCAAAGTCTAGTAGCAAACGACAATGGACATGCAAAAATTGCATTGACCTTGAAAAATATTTTAAATCATCTATTTTCCCAAATGGAATGTTCTTGATGCTTTTCGAAACGCCCTTTGTAATCATGCAATGGAATTTAATAACTCTAAAGTTTGAGAGACAGTATATACTAAATTGGGATTTGTATGGACTTAGGAATTTATTAGAGATGAAACTGAACGATTCTAACACGTTGTTAGCAGTAGCAGGTTTTCTAGATAACGGAGAAAATGTGGTCTACGTTTATTCAACAAAATCTGGTATAATGATGGCAAAAAGTAGGTGTTTCATGCATAAAGTTATTAGAAATATAAATACATAATGAGATAATTTTAATTAAAATTTAGAACAATTTAAGGAAAATCTTCATAATTTTTGTTTTATTGGATCAAGAGAAGAAGAACGTTTGTTTTTGTCTGGCCCGCAATTTGATATTGAGAATTATAATTATAATTCTTATATCCTGAATCCTCAAACTTATATGTTCGAGCTCCAAAGCACTGTCTTACACGACATTTATTCTCCCACATAGTTATCGATCCATTCCTGTCGATAATCAACAGCAACTAATCGTAGATACCAAATAGTGCATGCAGTTACCCAAACGTCATGATTAAGCTTAGTGACATGCTCTGTCTTAAAGTATTTTTGCAGATATTTCACAAATTCATCAACACTTTCGAAGCCATAGTAATCAGCGACCTTTTCATTTAAAGTAACACAGCCATCATCATCTTGATGACCAATAAGTGTACAAATATAACGGATATTGATATTCTTTCGTGTAATGATGGCTTGTTTGACTAAAAAGTGAACACATTATATAAGTCATTTTAATTAAAAGACCAATATTATAAATAAAATGTAAAAATTTCATACCAGGTGTGATTATTTCCAATTGTTCTTTTTCAAGATTTTTAACTTTAAAACGCTCAATAATGAAGTTTTTACATAAATCATATAAACGATCCTCGGCTTCGATATTGTTAATTTCTTTGCTAAGCAGCGCTTCACTGTTCGAAATAATTCGTTTCCATTCATTATAGTGTTTCCAACACAAAACCTTGAGGTACATAATCGTAAGAACTGTACATAATATAGACAAATTATATTTTGAAAGTTCCTTGTCTGAAAATACATGCTTAAGAAAGCTATCTTTCAATTCATCGACTGATTTATAATTAAAAAAATGCGCCAATTTATCAGAAAATTCAAAGAAACCATTCTCTTTGCGCCAGCTAATAAGTATATATACATGATGAAGTTTAATTGATTCTATAGTAAAAACAAAGTCCACACTCTCGGTAAATACGGTGGGGATAAATTGAATTTCCAAGTTCAAATGTCCTTCAACTGGCTTTTTACTAATTTGAAGTGGGTACCAATCACTAATAGGTTTAGAATGATCTTCATAATTCATTAAAGTATTAGTATCCAAGACATAGGTACCAAGATGTTCATCTGATACAAAAAGATTTTCGTCAAAGATTTCAAACGAAATTTTTTCGCCTAAACTATGAACAGAAGCGAAATGAACTTCTTCCCATTTTGGATTAACAGTTTCATGGTGAACACAAGTGCGATCTACTTCAATTCTAGAAGCATCCATAATGCGGACGTACGGATCAGAATTAGAAAAAGTAAATCGACTATCTTTTTTTTTGAGATTTTTAGCACTTTTAACACATATTCTAATTATTCTGACAACCTCAGAATCCCGGTACTTTTCATTAGCTTCTATAGATTCCTTGAAAGTCTCATCTTCTTCTATAGCATCCTGTTCAACTTCGAACCTTTTAACAACAAAGTTTCTAGAAGCCTCAAGAAGTTCTTCTCGTACTTTATCATCTTTCACTTGTTGACAAAGCCAATTATTTGTTTTTTGGTATACGTCTGCCCACTCACTTCTGAAATCAACTAATACATATCTAATAAACCAAATCAAAATAGCAGTACTCCAAACGTTAACATCAAATTGAGAAGTTATTGGTGAGTAGGAAGAAAAATGTGTTTCAATATGTTTCTTAGCACCTTCAGCCGAACTAAAACCCAAAGCTTCGGCCAATTGAGTAGTAAGCTCGAAAAAACCAGATTCATTCTGGTAAGCGATAAACCGACGAACAATACGAATATCAACACGTCATCGGGTAATGATTGATTTCTTAGATGCGGCTGTGGTAATATGAAATGATTAATAAATCAGTATCATAAGCATCAATTAATGTTAATAATCAGTAAAGATTTATGCAGGTAGTAATCATATGCAAATCGATGAATTAAAATATATAGCGAAAACAATTTTCGGAAATATTCTTATTGCCCAAGAAATAAATGATTTATAAACTCTGGTGTAGGCAATGGTTTATTCATAATGATAGAATTTTAATACTAATTTCTTTTTAATTTATCAATAAACATATGTCTCATCCTGCATCATTAACAAAAAGAAATAACTTTTCTTACTGAGAACTCCCACACTTCTTTGTTGATTCTCGTCTACCCATTGAGTAACTTTAAAGCGTTGAATAACGAATTTGTTTGAATAATTATAAAGTCACCCTTCGACTTCAACATCAGTTACATTTTCACTCAACCAGCTTTCAGCCCTGTTGTAAATATTCCTCCACTCACGACGCTCATTCCACAATAATACCTTGAGGAAGGACGTGACAAGCACTGTACCCCAAATTTGGTGATCCAAACTACGAACCACTCCATCCTTTTGTACAAAATCAGAAGTTGCTTTAGCGAGTTCTTCTTTAGAAGAATAGTTGAATAATCCTGCTAATGAGTTGGTAAGTTCAAAGTACCCGTATTGACTTTGATAAGTCACTAGGAGATATAAATATCGAATCAAAATAGTAGTTGGGCTAATAACTTCTGAACCATCAGATTCAGGGAGTGTAAAAAAGTCAGCGACAAATGACAATTGGCCT